GCCAGGCTCAATCGAAATAAATTAGGTACCTCAGGCACACGTAGAGCCAACTCAAAAAAGAAAAGCTGCATTCGGTCTTGGACCGGTTACTGCGAGCTACGGCATGCTAGGTGTAATGCACACATCTCTCGGGCGCTGTGGCGGGAAGTGTGTTTGCTTCTTTCTTTTCTCATTCCAGTTAGTTAGGACGGTGAGCTCCCCTCCCCTTTTTATGCGTGTTTGTAATTTTTACTTCCGTATCTATTTGATGTACACGCACTTTTTTCCTTTCAGATATATACAGATAGATAGATAGATAGATCTATATTCTAATATTGCCTCCTCTTTCGATAGATCCAACCTCCCTTGGTGTCATATGAGGTAGATAAAGTTTTTGTGCAATGTTGCACATTGGATGATATCTGTGTAAAAGAAAAAGTACCTGGTACAACCTCCCACACGACACAAAAGCAGGATGCGCTCATCATACCTTTCATGCTAAAGTACCCGCTACTATACACAGACTATGCAGAATGACACTGAGTAACTCAAAAGTACGTCCACGCACGTTTTTTCCATGCAAGGGTTCCTACATACATATATCTCCATGAGAAATATAATATAATAGCTATATCGAAGCTAATGGAAGGGTCCTACCAGCGGGAAGCCGAGAGAAGCAATAGAAGAATTCCCACTGCGGACAATCAACTTCTTTCTCAGTCTGCTTTCCTATCGTTTGAAGGCCCATTTGACGGCCAGCACTTGATTCCGCGCGGGTTAGTTTGGACTTATTTGCATAAAGCGTATCGTCCATTGGAAATATGTTAGATGCTGGTTCGACGTGTAAAATTGCGCACACCATTACATAGCCGTCAAAAAACAATACCATAAAAAGCATCTCCTTTCCAGCAAGAGCAAAACAGAGCGAGAAAGAAAAGGAACGACAGAAAATGGAAGGGGTAAACTGTCAGCTGTATCCACTTGCGCCCCATCCTTGCGGGGGGCAAAAGGGGAAAAAGACAACTGATCTGAAAACGATGCCATTGGATTCCTGGCTGCTTGGCTAGCTAGTGAGTGGTCCATTCTGTAAGAAGTCTGATGCTCCCCGAAGCACTGGGCATGGGCAAGGTTGGACTAGGCCTTTCGATTTGGACTTGCGTAGTCCCATGGAAACGACCCCCCCCTTCCCATCCACTTTTGATCGATTCGATCCATTTGTAGACGTTGGCAGATCGTAACCAACACTGTAAAGCCGCTTGCTGAGCATTTATTGGTTTCGAGGCAGCAAATTCCCATACGAGGGGGGTTATTGAAATTCGTCACCTCGATATCGCTAACTAATCCGTTGAGATTGAATATATGTGTGTCTGTGTGTGTGTGTGTGTGGATAGAGGGACTGAGTGACCAGGGACAGGGGTGCCCCTGGTAAAGATGGGAAGATCCACTTTCAGTCTTGACAGTGGCTGGGGAGATGAATGGCATTCTTGGAGATGGATAGGTGCTTTCCCTTAAGCCATTGGACAATGACGCTGAGCTTGAATTGAAATTTGAGCAGCGCCCCCTTTGCAACACAAGAACACAACTAGAGGCTTCCATGCTGGTAGAGAAAGATAAAAAGAGACGGTCCGGGAGAGAGAGCAAGGATACCTACCTACAGCTTGATTGATAGGGGGATTGTTTTGTATTTTCTTGTATTCTGTTTTCACCCAACCTGGAGGGTAGCCTGGGTGAAAGGGCAGTGATTGTAGCTTGAGAAACCCTGTAGTATATGAGGTCTCGTAATTCGCAGGCAGGCCCCAGTTTTCAAGGATCTCCAATCTCCAGATCTAGGATAGCAGCAGATCGGATTTTCGAGAATGATTCCCCGCTTGGCAAGGTAGGTCGATGGCGAAAAAAAAACATAGAATGGCGCCTGCTGATTGGGTTTCACAACACCAACTGTATCGAAAAACCGTCCAATGCCGAATTTTGAGTCTCTGGATGAAGAATCCTTGAAGGGAGTGGCTATTTAGATGAGGACGATGACATGCATTATAGCCAGTCCCATTTCGTCTTCTGGCCCATTTATTGTCTTGCTCTTTCTTTGTCCCGAGCATCCGAATGCTGTTAGAGAGCCTCATAATAGCTTCTTAATCAAAACACCTTGTTGCGTCATGTCAATCAAGACGTGTGACATAAGACCACATATAAATCTACCCGCCTTCTTGTGAAACTGATTAGAGGATCTCATCCGGCAGTGTTGATAGATTTAAACTTGCCACCAGAGGCGGACACAAATAAAGGGCCTGATGAAAGCTCGAAATAGCTTGAGAAATGTATCAATAAACAAGGATACCCACTGAATATCCATCCCCCAGAGGATATCTTTGCAAAGATGCCCTGTTAGTATATTTTGTCAGACCTCAAAGAACGTTAGGTCCGAGAAGTCAGAGCGGCCAATCTAGCCCTGGTAAAACATTGCAGAAGTTTGTCTAGTACAAGATGCAACTGAAGGCAACCGAGCCTCCCATTACACAAATAGGTGTGCCTGGCATAAAAAGCCAATGAGATCATCGGCAAAAAGTGTCGTTAAAAATTTGTTTTTATAGAGAAGGCGAAGGGGAGAAGATAACAACAGATGTCAAAAGGACTGTTGAGAGATTCCCTGTTAGCAGCGCGTGAGCAGCGTAGCGGGATTTCTCAAGGGATATGCAGATAGATCACTGGCACTTGGTATATTGCGCTAAATACGGAATGGCGTCGTAGATGCGATGGACAGACTCCACTGTAGAGATTCAAATGTGTCGTCTAAATTCTCTGAGAAGCCTTCAGAGAGTATGGAAAATTGTAAGCTTTTGAAACCCTCTGTGGTAGCCAATTACCTGAAGAAACGGTAAGAAAGAACTGCTCAAGGCAATACGGATTATCGGGAATTATCTCGAGAATGGGGCTCAGGTAGTCGAGATGGGCCGATGTTGATGCGTCTTCCAAAGGCCGCGAAGGTTTTTCAATTTCTTGGTTAGGGTGAGATTTGCATGGTGCATTGCGGTAGTTACACTGAAGAAAAAGAAAAAAGAAAAAAGAAAAAAAATTGTCCCGTGAAGGGTAGAAGAACCCGAGCCTCCGTTGCCTGGAATCTTGGAACAGAAGCTGCAGAGTTCCCCTCTTGCTTCTTAATAAAAGGCCGAGCGAGCGTTATATGTAACTATGCCTCATATATTTAAATTATATATTAAATACACTTGGCATACCGACGAAACACAAGCCCGCCACGGTTCCACATAAATGTCAGAATTCCCAGAATAGAATATATTTTCTGGCCGTTTGTATAAGTAGTTAGCAAATGATGCGGAGATAACAGGAGCCAATGAACGAATTGGAAAATATAGGTGAGGAGGAGCAAAAATATAACTGTTGCAGATGATGATGGTCTGAACCATCGTCGCCCGGACGATTTGCTGATAGAAGTTATGTATAAGATTTCCCCCAGCTGCAGGGCGCCTGAAATTTGTTTTGTTGGCTTTTTCTTGGGAATAATGAACAAGACATAGCAGAGATTGATCATCAATCGGTGGATGAAAATGAATACTTGTCTAACGCCATCCGTTGCAGCGCGAGTCAAATAGATGATAGATATAGAAATTAGATGAAATAGATACATCTTTTATTAACAGACGTGGGAACCTTGAGCAGACGATTCAACAGGACAGCACACACAAGTACTCCCCGGTACTTCTGGTTGCGTCAGAACAAACGTATTATTGAGGCGCACAATGACCAAGGCGCCAGATGCCTGCAACGCCAGGCACCAAAGAAGGAAATCGTCAGGAAAAGCCACGCTGGCTGCAATTGGTTCTATTGTTCTGTGACTCCGCTATATCGAGGCCAGTTTCAAGTGGTTCTATTCTGGGTCTTCAGCGGATGCCGCCCATGCATGAGGTCCCGATATTGGGGGGATGCAGGTCCTACGGCCTGGCCTGAACGACAACATCAACGCACAACCTCAGTTTCAAGGACTGTGCGTGCTGTTGGAATCGTGGATGGATGGTGGGAGTTATGTATAGTACATACATAGCTCCTGGGAGGAAGGGGAGGGAGCTGGAGATGGCATTTCAGGCCTAAATATGTTGATTCGCGCGGACTCGCCCCCCGTCCAGAACAAGCCACCAGTTATTACGCTGTAGTTCCCTTTCAAGGAAACACAGTCACAGTAGTTGGACTCTATCTATCTGCGCTCTCTGTCTCGCTCCTGGACCCAGGCAAAGAAGCCCAAACAATTGTGTTCTTGTGTTTGCTAGGTCGAGAAGAATGGCCCAGGGTTGATGTGGGGAGGGTGGAAGGAAAAGGAAAAAGGACAACACCAACAACACAACAGCTCACTCAACTGTTTAGTCGAACAAACAACACCTTGCGACGACAACAAACAACAACAACAACAACAACAACACCAGCAGATGCGATGTATGTACAGTACAAATGTACAGGGAATGGTTTTGCTGACTCAGAAAGGCGGACGGGAGAAAGAAAAATCAAAATCAAGAGAAAAAAAACAAAAAACAAAAAAGCAAGCACTCCGGGCGAGTGGGGGGGGATGATGATAAACGAGGTACTTGGCCAGCTGGAGCAAATGCTGGCAAAATGCAAGTCACTTTTCGTGCCCAACAAGCCTCCACAGGCTGATGCGAATTTCAGTCTAATCAGTGAAGCAAACGGAAAAGAAATACTTGGACAGCGCTCTTTGGGTATTTTGGTAGTGAGAAGAGCCATCGGAAATATTTCAATGCAGTTGCATATGAGCAGCTTATGAATTTTTATTTATTTAGTATTTATTTTTTAATATTATTGCAAAAAACAGTTCGGTCGTTATTGAGAGCCAGAGCCGCGCTTAAATCCTCTTCTGTATCTCGAGCGCCATAAAAAAGAAATCCTCAGCGTCCCCAGTTTAACTAACTACTAGTTTACTAGTTTACTAGTTAGAGCAGAGGCTAGTTAACGATGCAAATGCTGGATGTTCCTTTTTTTTTTCTTTTTTTTTTTTTCTCCTTTTTCAAGTTAAATGGCTTGCTCCGTAACTCTATGCAGCTTGATGTCGACAAACATAAATAACTATCATATTCTCCAAGCTGTATTGTACACCGCTGTTCACCCAACACATCCCGCATATCCTCCTTTCCCTAAGGATCCCACATTTCGTAATTCCGTCAGGATGTAAAGTACAGGTCGGTAGTAAGCCAATCTTGGGTATATTTTTGAAAAGGGTTCTCATTCACCCTATCCCAACCAAGAGCAAGCAAGAAACCAGAGCCACCATTCCACGCCCCAATATCTCGGTGATCATGCGGCTAACATGGTAATATCTTATTTTTACTCCTACCTATTTCTCACCTTTCAATCGTTTCGGCACGACCAGGTTATAATGGTCTAAAGTCTAGGCATATATTGAGCCATAGAAATAAGGCGGATAGACATTCCATGGCCCCCATCTCCCGGCACCAGATCGAGGCAAGGACGCACGGATTGATCAGTGGGATTTGCTGGAGGGGACAGACAGAACGGCCAGCAGATGCGCGCCATACGACGCTTTATTGGCTGCTTTCCCCCCCCGCCAATCCGTCGAGGGGGCGGCAGAAGTCCAGAGGTGCCTACGGGGACGCATCAGCAGCTTCAACCGGTCAGAGCAGAGAGAGGGAGCAGAGCTTGGTTCAGATGCGGGTTCCCGCACTCACAGCAATTTTTATTTATTTATTTATTTATGCGTGTCCACAAAGGCACTTGAAGTCTGCACGCGGAATGCTGGATCGGAGTTGTTGGTCAGCAAGCAGAGAGAGAGAGAGTGTGTGTGTGTGTGTGTGTGTGCGTATGTATACAGACATTACACTAGGTAGTTAGAGGCTTCTGCTGCGGCTGCTCCTGCTTCTGTTGTTATTATTATTATATACGTGTAGTCGCCTCTGGGAGTTAGCTTAACTACTCCGTATATCGACTGCAAAAAGGATCATACTGGATAAGGAAGTGCTGTTGTTGTTCTCGAGGGGCCCATGAAAACAGACAAGAAGATTACACAAGGTTTTTTGCTTGTAGGTCATTGTGCAGCTCTCATGGAACGGAAAGGCGCATTGTGAGGTTGTAATTGGCAACTGTGTATGTGGTCAGAGACGAATGACTGGCTCTATGGCAGCATCATTTTTTTATATATTTATATTTATTTTTTACTTTACCCTCGCCGACTCCCCTCCACGTAGATCGTGTGTACGGGGTACAGCCAGCGCCAACAGGCTCCTTATCCACCCCGTCACAGCGGCCAACCAAGGCGTTCCTGGTGTAGGTTTCAGAGATCGAGTCTGGCCGCTAACGGTGATTGTCATCTCGCACCCTCACGCTAGACACTCCGAGCACACTATATGAGACACTTTTGGTGACAACTGACAGCGCCAACTTCTGCTGTCCTCGATTGGGTCCGTCACAGTCAAGTTCAAGTCAGGTATTAGTTAAGTTATACCGCTTACACTCACTGCCAGCCAGGCTCCGGAAACATCCTGGGTGAGCAGGTCTCAACGTGGCTGTCTCCCGCAAGCCCGGCCATACGCTATAACGAGCAGTGATTGCCATGGCCTATGATATATTTACACTTATAATTCTTCTGCGAGTCCACCTCAGCCCGCCGCGGCATCCCTGCCCTGCGGGCTTCGTCGTCGGAGGTATGACTTGCAGAAACAAGGGAACCAAAGACGACGAAACCGCCCTGCTTTGGGACTCACTGTGAGCACACAGCGAGCCCTTTATCCCTCCCAACCGCGTGGAAACAGCCAGTTAGTTGGGTCTGGTCTTCTTTTCCACTTTCAAAAATAAATAAAAATAAAAAAAGGCAACAGAAAATATTTATATTACGCTCTATATATATAGATATCCGGCTCGGAAGGTGCCGATTGCGACCAGACAAATGCTTCATTCGGCGGCAGACACTTGACGGAGGTTCAACCATCCCACCACTTCTATCCAAGTACGTATGTACTGCACATCTGTCTACCAATAATTAGATGCCCCTCGCTGGATATCCGCTTGTGCTCCTATCGTGCAAATCAGCTCGTGGTACATCGCCGGCATTGGTCCGCCATTATTGCCCCATTCCTTTCCCCTTTTGTTTCGTCTTCTCTTCCCAGTACTATCCTCCATGTCCTCGAGCTCTGGATGTATGTATCCCATAGGTTCATTTGCTGTCTCTAAATAAATACCCCCTCGTTCTGTCCTCCTTGCTGGCTGTACCCCTGAGGCACCATCGGACTCAGTTCAGCCGCGAGAGCTCTCAATTACTATTAAATCAACTCCCTGCCCGTCTCTACAGAGAACATTCCATCGCTGTGCCTTCGGTTTATATAAGAAGCGAAACGATCCTCTGTTTATTCCTTCTTGATATTATCCATATGTGCTGAAGTCGAACAAACGTCGCACCCCCCTCCTCTGCTATCTTCCAGGAAAATTCTATCCCAGCCGATTGATTGCGATATTTCTTCGACAGGGCTGAGGAATTCCCGAATCTTTTATGAACCGGGGAAAAGCCCAATCCAAAATTCCTCTACTGTTAGTCTCTCGTTCTTCTCTTTTCGTTTTTGGTGCTCCGCATCTTACAGGTTCTGGTTCGGCCTACTCCTGAGAGAAAGTGCCAGGCTTTTCTCGTGGCCCTGCCCCTCTCTATCAAATCACCCGCCCCGTCCCCCACTAGAGCTCCTCATATAGAAAGGTGGTTCTTGGGACGCCGCTTCGGCTCCATTATTGTGACTGGGCGTTTTTAGAATCCCCCTGATGATAGTGCGTTTACAGGAAGGAGGAACCTGCTGCTGTCGACCAATCGCCCGCCTAATCAACCGACCTATCTCACGATGAGCCAGACTTATTCCCCTAGCGAAGAGCAGGACTACACCTACACTCCGAGCAGCCAATATGGGATTTCGCAGCCGTCCTTGCATTCATACTCGACTCACCTTCTCTCTCCGTACAGCCAAACCTCGTCGGTTTCTTCCGAAGGCTCCCATTTAAGTCCCCACTATGCTACATCGCATTCAATGTATCATCAAACGCAACAGCATTCTTCCCTGACTAGCAGCTACCCTTACCCCCCTCAGTATCTTGCCCACCCAAGATACCCTACTCCCCACAGGTACCTTGCCTTTCCAGACCCGCTTCGGGATGTCGAGATTGAGAGGCAAGAGTCATGTAATGAGCAATCGATGGCATCTGAGCCAGTGCTACCACCCTTGGAAGGCTTCCCAGATGTTGTAGAATTCGACCAACTTGTGGCTAGGTGATTATTTCACCTCCTCCCTATTACAGATAAAAACTCTATTTCTGACAGAATATCTTTCCTGCTTCTAAGTTACGTCCAGGACCTGTCGGTCAAAAAGCAAGATAAAGCCTTGATACACTCAAGAAGGGCGCGAAACATCAGAACGGTGCTCATAGACCCTAAAAATACGGGTGTTGAGTCGGCACAATTTCGGTACGACACACTCTCTTCTCTCTTGCAGGATGACGCAGGCATTTGCTATTTTTCACGGCGTGGACCTATCAAAACCCTTTACGATTCTTTGCATATGCTGACTTACCTGTGCGTTCTAGATTTTGGGTCAAGAAGATGTTCAAACTTGAACCGAACGATGGGAGAACACCTGATGTATGGCCTTCTTTCTTTCTTAAAAGTGAATCCTCCAAATATATAGATAGGCTTTCCCACTGATTAGATGAATGCCCTATTCAGTCGAAACGGTTGATCTGCCACGAGGGGAAACCAGTTGCTATTCGGGAGAAATTGTTCAAAATTTTGACAAGAGCACATCAACAATGCCAACACGGAGGTCGAGACAAGACCTCGGCTCAGGTTCGGAGGATATATTCTTGGTATGTTTGCTGCATTAGAGCAGAAAGAGGGAAGCGCACTCAACCTGGAAGAGATAAAAGACATATATATAATGGCAATGATAAACAGGGAACAGGGCGAAAGGAGAATGAAAAAGATAAATCTAACCATATATATACAAACAGGGTCCCCAAAGAACTAATCTCCCGTTTCGTTAAAATCTGCCCAACTTGCCAGGTTCGCCGGGGCTCACGTTTAACCCCTCCGAACTCCCGCAGGGGCTCTCCAAAATTAACAACCTTACCGAATCCTCAACTTCTCTCCCCACCAGGCTCACGACGCGACTCTGTAATCAGCCGTTCCAGCGCTGCAAATGGAAGAATGCAGAGCGAGTATTCCCACCACATCCAAGGCGCTGGCTGGGGCCATAGCAATAGCCACGGTCATAGTCACAGCCACAATGGCCATGGTAGTCACCATCATCTGCATCACAGCAGCCAGTACCAACATCATGTCAACCCGCTAGCTCCGACTGGGCTAGGTACGCTTCCCAGGTCCATTTCGAGCACCACAGAAGGCATAGCGGGAGGAGGAATGCATTTGCCGCATCTGGATTACCATACTTCGTATGAAGAAGCTCATGGGATTCCCGAGTCACAATATTGATGGGACACAACCTTTGTTGGGCCGGCTACCCGATATACGTGGGCTAGGAGTACGTTAACAGATAATCACTAAGAGCAGCTTGTTTATTTTATCGAGTTCAGCATTTGGTAATTGGTATCGATAATGGGATTATTGTCACTTGGCATTTTGGCATGATATGGGTATTCGGTATGGTAGTTGACTTTCCTTTTTTGTCTTTGCTTATTTCGTTTATTCCATTTTTTTCCTCCATTAAATGTTCAGGCCCTTTTCCTTTGACCTTGAGTAGGAACTATAATATTTTCATCATTTCTTTTTTACTTTCTTATCTTATTTTATTTTTATTGTTTGCGGAAAAATATACAAAAGCTACGCTACAAGAGGGAGAAAAAACAAAATACTTTCATATTTCTATCACTCAAGCCTTCTTTCTCTCTCTCCTAAGTTGTCCGATTACGAAAAGTTCATATAATACATGGGATGGGTGCTATGGGAAAGAAAAGTAACAGGGGTCGCCAGCAGGAGAATTTGCAAACTTTGAAAAGGCTCAGAAAATTAACTAAATTGAGAGGAGTTGTGTTTTTTCAAGCTATATAACTCACTGTATTTCCTTTTCTTCTCCAATCCAATGATTTGTCTCATAGATCCTATTAATTTCATATATTTCATATACTCTTTTGTCTGTTGTGTGTTTTTCCGTGTGGCTAAAAAAACTTTGCGTCCTGCTTTTATTTTGCCACCCCCTTTTTTCCATTCCTCTCCTGTGTTGTATAAGGAGCCCTTTCTACGATTAGTCAGACTATTCACGGGTATAGTATATATCAATCACGAATAAAATAAAAGAATTTTGCAGCATTGCCCGGCGGATGTGCTTATTTTGTTGAAGAAATGGTTCAAAAGAAAGGTCTGTTCCTGCGATGAATTATTTATGCCGTGAGCATAGTAGGAACAGCTGCTTGGGATTTTAGCCGTTAACTAAAAGGAAAAAACTCCTAAACCCATATAGCTCTCTTTTCCTAGTCATTACCCAGACCGCGATATTAATGCGATATAATGGCGTCAGATAAACCCATCATTAGTGTCATTAAAGTAAAAAATATAGAACAAAATGGGGGTTGCCGTCCAACCCTTCTAGGGTGGATGCAAATGAAGTCGTCAAGAAGAGAAAAAAGGTAAGGAAGCAAAGAACAGTATATAGAAGTAATATAAAAAGATGGGGGAGAAAGAAATGAGTTTCCCAGATGATACAAATGGGGAAAAAGAAAAGAAAGAAAGAAAGAAAGCTGAACAGAGAGTGAAAAACAATGAACTGTTTTTGATGATACAAGTTTGTAGAGCTTAGATCTCCCCTCTCACGCCTAACAATGGCAGTGCCCCTATTTTTGTGAAACCTTGTTACTTATTTCTTTAAAATGTTAATAATATTCTCAGATACTACAAAGTGCATTTTACATGTCCTTTAAGAACTCACTTTTTATACTGGCAGCGTAAACTTCTTGCCCTTTAGAACCCTATACACAAATAAGAAAAACCGGTTAGAATCAACTCGCTCAAAAATACGCCCGGGAGACAATTATATCCGAAGATAAAATGTTATATGCAAGGAACAGAAGGGAGGAAAAACGAACTTGGTATAGTAAATCCAGAAGAAGTCCGAGTAGAGAATAGTCTGAATAACACCAGCAATCACCGAAATGGGTTCGAAGAAGCCGTCCGAGAAATATCGATATATCCAGTTGGGAATATATAGCGCCCGGTAAATGCCCAAAGCGAAGAGGTAATGTGTCGTGATCGTTTCCGCCTCCCCGGTGCGTTGTAGCATGAAGAGTTGTGGGAGAATTGCTACGGATTCGAGCCAGATTGAGAATGCCCAGAGGATCTAAAACAGCAGAGTGAAATACTTAGTAACGGAGGTTGACATACACGGAGCGGTATAAATCTGGTGACTGTCATACCTCAGCAAATTCATATCTTGGCGGGAATATTACACCGAGCACAACGCTTGCGCCTAACAAGTATTGCACTTTAAACGTATCAATGTTTGGGTCGTGAGTGGGTTTGTAGTCGTTGACCATGAGATATAGCGTATAGGCTGAGGAAGAGATAAATAGGAGTTTAAAAACGGTATTATAGGCGGAATCGGTGAAGGTCCAAAAAAGATCTGTTTGATGGGAACAACGTTAATAACCATACGATACCCCTTCTGTTATTGAGCAATCTAAAACCAGACATACCTAAGTATCGCGTAATATAGACGAAAAGATATAATGCTTGAGATTTAAACGATATTCCAGAGCAGCTCTAAACCCAAATCAGCCGCCGCAATGGTAGCAATATCGTGGATTTGCCGTAAATCTCACGGGGGTAGAGGTATGCGTACGCTGGATGATTTCATTTTTTGCAAAAGAATCAATATGGAGATCAGATGGGAGAAATCCGCTGCGAGTATAAAAATTCAAAGGTCAGCCATTCGGACGCGATTAAATATCCGTCTAGAGCAATTGTGGTGCACAATTTCGGTCGAAGGGCTCTAATAAAAAAGCATTTGCGACATATGGTAGGCGCATACCTAACAACCTGAAGATATTCATGTTGGCGGCGAGGGATAGCGAAGGTTTCGGAGCTAATTGTTTTGATCGGGGAATACAGGGGGAATTGGCAGTAAGCTTTTAATCAAAAATTGTATATGGCGCGATGGCAACAGGGCCACCGAGGTAAAGAAGGCTCTTGAGTCTGAGGATTCTCTAGGAGGACTATAGAGGCAGAGAACGCCATATGAAACTGGGCATTTGACGGTGCAGAGGGCGCTTCGGGAGCGGAGAGCGCAGTTCTTGAAGTTCGATTTGTTGACACGAAGCCTCTTAACCCACGGCGATCTTTGGTTTGGCTGCGGCGGTTGGATCGCGCCAGGGAGCCGGCGAACGGGTTTTCTTTAATCCGAATACCACGTGACTTGCATATCTTTTGAAGTTATTGGTTATCTCAGCGGGCTCAGACCCTCTGGCTCGGTTTGTCTTGGAGGATGATAACGTTGTTGTGTTGTGTTGTGTGTAATCTATCTACGCGAGTTACACTAAATGGATAGGTTGGGGTGGCACGTGACTAGGGTAGGTGTAGTAATCACCAACACCCCCCCTTGCTACACCGTGGCCTATAATAAGCCGCCACCCGGGGCCTCCCCCATCCTCAAATCTTTCAAAAATGCAATAATAATTAATTACATGAATCAGACCCTGATTTCCTCATTAGGAAAGGTGTCTGTACAGCAATAACTGTAAAAATCAAGAAATACATGCAAAATCCATTGATTCACTGTATCATCATTATCATTCAATTATTCCTTCTTCTCAATTTCCTGAATGCCAACCCTTTTGATAAAATCTTCAAATGCAGGCTTCGCCAGTGGCTTGGTGAGGTCATCAGCTATTATTATTATTATTATTATTCTTCAATTATAGATGTATACAGTCAGAGACTATGACATCTACCTGAGAACTTTTAGTTCTCAGAGTTTTTCCTATATCTGTAAAGTTAACTATTATACATTCATCAATTTCAGATATGCAAAATCAGAAAATTCCAGCTCAGAATATAAAAACTGTTTACAAATTGCAGTGTTTTAACATCTTCTGATACTTTGAAATCATTTAACAATATCATGACAAAGGAAAAGAGAATACAGTCTTAAAGATAGATATATTAAATAGATAGACAGAAAGAAATTGAAAGAAAAAGATAAAGTAAAGAAAGACTGTAATAAAACAAATTATTAAAAGATAGTATATAGCTGTTTTAACAGACTATATCTGATTAATTTTCTCCTCTTCATATTCAGATAATTCTGAATTTAGTCATTTTCTTATAGCTGCTTAAGTTTCTGATAGAAAGTCTATTAAATATTTAATTCCTGTCTCAGTTAAGAATAAGAATCTTATATTTAATTGATTTAGATTATACTTCTCTTTCAATCTGACTCTGAGACTATTGTATAATATATAGTGTATTACAATATACTTAGAATTCTCATTTACATTGCAGAATGAGTATTCTATTGAGTCAAATCTATCATTAAATCTTTGTATATAAGATTTGAAATAGTTATATTCTAGTTTCAGCTGTATTATAGATGAGAATATTTTCTTTTTACATTTAATTGAATAAGATTTTTACTTAGGTTTTGTTTTAAATCTTGAATAATGTATACTCTTCTTTTATTTCTGTCAGCTTTCATTTCACTTATCTAAATAAGATTCTTTTATTTTTCTCTTTATAAAAGATCAGAATATAACTTTTTACATAGATCTGCTTAATTCTGCACTCTTTTTTACAGCTGAATCAGTCAATTCATTATCATAAATATTCATATAAGCAGGAACTCAGTGTAAATGAATTATCAGCTTTGATATTCTTCTCTTTTGAATTTTCAAAACAGAGTTTAAGATCAGTTCAAGATTCATTTGATTATTATAAATCTGACTATTTCTAAGTCTTTTTAAAGCAGCTTGACTATTAGAGAATATTTATATCTCTTTCAAACTATTTCCTCTTTTATAAGATTTTATTTCTATGAGTTTGAAAGCTTTCACTATTATAAATAGTTCAGTATCAAAGACTTCAGATTCACAGTCTAGATTTCAGAAATCTGAGATAAAATTGATATTATCTTCAGTATAAGCAATGTCTGTATCTAATCTATTCAGATTCTCATTCTTTGAGTCATCTGAATAAATCAGAATAGAGTCTTTTATATTGATTATAGAAATTCTCTTCAAATACTGTTTATATTCTTTCTCTTTTGATAGTTCACTTATTTATAAGTCTATAAGAGATTCAAGCTTTTCTCTTCAGAGAGATAACTTCTCATGATTCACTTTTTCAATATTTAAAGAAGAATATTGATTTTTAATCAGAGAGTATAGTCTGTAAAGTTGAGAAGATATTTTCTTTAAAGAATTATTTTCATTTCAATCAAGAAATCTATTTCAATTCAGTTCATTTTCAGAGTTAATTGATAGAAATGAAGACAAGACTCTTTCTCTGATTATATAATTTAAGCTCATCTTTATAACTCTCAGAGCATAGTTCATACAGACCTTTTCAAATCTAATAGTAGAAGAAGGAATTAAAGCTTCAATTTTCATTACTTTAATAGAAGATGATTTAAATACTTTCAGAATTCTTCTCAAGGCTCTGTTTTACAGACTTTGAAAGAGTTCAGTGAAATTCTCTTAATTATTTTATTAAACTTAAACTTCATAATCAGCTACTGATGTAATACAGGCTATATATAACTATCTCATAGCCTGGAAGAATAGATCTCTCTCTGTATTTAATAGTCTGATTATGTTGTTTAATAATCTTTCTGTCTTAACAGTTCTTTGTTAAATATGATATTTAAAGTTCAACTTAGAGTTTAATTATACTTCTAATTATTTAATATTTACACTGAGTTTAATCTCTCTATTTAAAAGAGATAGAGACAGTTCTTTCTCATTGAATCTAGAAAAGAAATGAATTAACTCAGTTTTATTCATATTAAATTGAATTTAATTGATATCTGCTTTAACAAAGATTTTCTTTACAGCTTCTTCAATCACTTTTAAATTCTCTTTGATAGTTTTTAAGCTATAAACTAGATCAATATTATTCATATAACTCAGAGATCTCACTATTCTTATATTTCTATTCTTGAATAGATATGCAGTGTATATTATAAATAAAATAAGTGAGATTGAAAATTCTTATGATACTTCTATTTTTATCTCAGTCTTATCTTATTTCATTTCATCAAAGAAAAGTTATATAATTCTTTTAGATATAAA